AAATACCCCCGAGTATGTCTGCTGGCCCCTGCGAGCAATGACCTGTAACCTTGTCTTGATGACATCGGCAGGTGTGGCTAGATAGGCAGCGGGGGGTCCTGGAGATGACAAAAAAAGATCATTTAACATTAATTGGCATTTACTCAATATAATAAAACTGCTGGTCCCTCAATATTATCTCCTTCAATCCATTTGTAACTGAAGATCTTCAACATAAAATCCTGTGGTTTTTTGACGTACATGTACATAAACCTCACAAAGGGACACTTAATGGGCTTCTAGTTTGTTTTTAATCTCCACGAGCTGAATTCTATACAAACTTTATGCAAATTTATCAATTTTTCTGAACTGCATAGAAATAATAAGATGCTCTATTGGGCTCAAATTGTTTTAGGTTGGACTGCTTCCAATGTTAAAGTGTCCTATATATTTTGTATATACTCTAGAATTTTGGGTTTTCTTGGAACAAAATTAAGAAGCCTGACTGAATCAACAGTAGAACACCAACACTGAAAAACTGATAGCAAAAATCCCCCATTCTGGCAAATTTAAATGAATCCACAGTGATATTGAAGCGTTTGCTATGACGGCGTCACAGTTTTGCTCATGAATACAGAGGTGACATTAGCATAAAAAAATAAAGTCCCAAAGAACCCTGTAAATGGCGTAACAAAGACTGAAAATACAAGTAAATTGACATAAAGGAGTATTTGAAGGATTATATGTATTTGAAAAAAGGGTGCATCCTTCAATTCAAAGATGTTTTTCATCAGCCAAACGGCAAAATCTCAACCACCAGGGTCCGACTGATATTTACCAGCAAGTGTGGCAGCGACGAGCAAGGAGGTAGGACTATTGTGACCGTCTTTGTCAGCAAAGGCTTTCTTGAGGTGGGCATAGCCGGGGAAGTAAATTGCTGAGAAGGGGATGTCGCGAAGGAAGCACGCCCGGGCACCCTACAACAAATAGTAAAAAAAAATGACATATTCTGTGTAAAGAATAACTGATGTATGACGTCACTGTTGTCCTGGGTGCAGTCTTAATTTTTGGCCCAAAACATGATTTGTTTTAAATGACATGATCCCACGACAGTCCTTCAAACAGTTGAACTTAACAAATGTTCAAAATTTGTGCAGTATAACTTATTGCACGTCATTTTTTTCAAGACTGGACGTGGAAACCCACAAGATGTGCAAACGCACCGTGATTTTTGTGCCAGTAGCACAGACAATGAATTGAAGCGTTCTTGCAATGCATGACAACAGCGGCAAGTTAAACGTGAAATTTCTCAGTAACTTTGTGCATGTACAGCACAAAGGACATCAAGGTGACCTTGTTTTGAGCTTGGCCGCAGTACATGGCCTGCAAATGTCTCGCTCTGTCAGGTATGGTTGGGCCTTCGGATGTTGCAAAAATGAAGTTATGGTAAGAAATGTACACACCATGTTCACATGACTTGAAAAGGTCTGCATTTATGCAGTCCAACTCGGCAACAGACCCTTGCTAAGAACCCCAGCCACATCCTTTGTACTTGGAATAGAATTTGGGAATTCAAGCTCCACACGAAGTAACAGCGGATGGGCTTTACAGCCCTGAGTCCACTGATATGCTGTCTAACCTAGGTGTGTGTTTAGGCAGATTTGGGTTTAGTTGGGGCTTTACAAAAGACGGAAATTGCATTAACCTTGTACAAGCCAAAGAAGCCCAGGTCTCGGACTACCGTGATTGCACTGACTCTGGGTCCCGACTGGATCTCACCGGCGACCTGCAACCGGATCTTAACGATCTCCAAAGGATTGGTAAACATCACCTGGGAGGCACCGGCCTGGGGAAATGGACAGGGACAAGAAGAAACAGCAATTTAAAAAAGAGAATGTTAAAAATCAATGATTCATTTCTGATCTTCTGAAGAAGTTTACTTGCCAAGCTGACTAGAACAATTTCCAACAACCTCCTTCAATGTAAACCACGGGAGTAACAGCCGAAGTTGAAATTCTGCACAGAGTTCCTCACACAGAATCAGCAAATAATAAAAATGAAGACAAAGAAAGAGATCTTTAGTACAGAAAACTAACCGCTTGCAGCAGAAATAAAAAAAAAAAGGAGAACTTCCTGATGTTGAGGGCCATTTGTTGACATTTTCCCTCATTAGCATGCACTTCTTTAGGTTGTTTTGATGCAAGGAGTCTTGAACGTAATGCACATATTCCCTGTGATGTCCATGCATATAAAAACTGGTTTAACCACTTCGTGCCGGGGCATTTTTCAACGTTGATAATGCTGGGCCGGAATGACTATCATTTTTCCGTTTTCAAAATCCTTCAAAAATTCATCATTCCATTTAACGGTTGTTTATAGCCGCACAAAGTAATCTTTAGGCACTACTCTAAGTTGACNGTTGACAGGTGACCTTCATTGACGCCCGAGTATTTCAGCCAGGCCTGCAGCCTTGTAAACAGAGCCCAGATTGAGCGGTGTTATACAACTGTCTTTTGTTCACGAACCTGGCTCAGTGCACTGCTGACCTCTTTTCAATAGGGGCCAGATTAGCGTGCAGCGGTGCTGTGTGGCTCATCGCTGTGGTGGTGGAGCGCTTTTGTCCTTGGCGGTAATCCGCTTGCTCTCAATGCCCCAAACCCTGGTATACAATTTCAAAATAACGCTGGATTATCACCACTTTTGAGAGTGAAAAATGCCGGTAATGCCCAGCAGCCTGGTCTTTTGTTCGGAGCACGGTCTTTTGTTACAGGGCCTTATTTCCTTTGTCCAAGTTCGGAGACCCCGGCCACGCATATAAACCATACGCTCCGATTTCGGAGTCCCCGGCTGGTAGTGGTTAACAGAATGCATTCAGGATTTTTTTGAGATTTTGAAAAAGAAAAATTCAGATTCCATGTAGGAGTCACGAGTCTGTCCAGAATGCAGTCCAAATATGCCTAGCAAAAATGATTAAGACTTATCTCTTAAAGAGATCTTGCAAACTGTGGTTGCAATTTAAAATGCATGGTAAGGGGCACAACCTACCCCAAAGGTGATCCACTGACCACACAAAATTTGTTCTGGGGTAAGGGTGAGAAAAAAGTCAACTTTGCAGCAGAGAGTCAACATTACAGAAGAGCGGAGTCATGATTCTGGTTCCAAGCTATGATGGGTTCAAGTATAAAGTCACGCATAAGTACCTCAAACCATTATAAATGCACCACACTCCACAGTGACTTGGAAAAGCATCACTTGAATTCTCATCAGGGTGCCTTCCACACACTCACTTGGGTTGACATAGGTTAGCCCTGAGCTGTTTGAGTGGCTCTGACATCATACTTGGGGTTTGCACGGGTCAACTACCAGATGCCCTACTCGCGACACAGACTCAGAGATGGAAGTACATCACGCACAATCACAGTACATCAAGGCCCACTCAAAGCTTAAAGCAGGGGCGAATGACCTTTCACATTCACCATGTGATGTGATGGGTTTTTTTGCTGTTTGACAAGCCAGCTTATTGTAGCTAACCAACCTCCTTCGTCCTGGTCAATCAGGGAAAGCTACTCAAAGGCACCCACAAAAAGCCACACAGCTCTCGCAACGGCTTTTACACCATGCCTGTGAGATCCTGTCAGGATACTTACACATCCACCTGCGACGATTTCGGCCCACAGTGGGAGGCCACCATCTTTCCTCCGGAGGCGGTCACGGACAAAGTCGTTCATGGTCAGCTTGATGGCCTTCTCCGGAGCCACGCCCAATAGCTGGGGAGGCAGACCTGTCAAAGTGACACACGAAAAGGAAAAGAAAGTAAGTACTTCATTTTTGATGATTTTTGATAAGCAAAATGATTAAGATGATAAAAATAGGCTCACAGAGATAGATCACTTTCAGTGAAGCAACAAGTGATTATACATTCCCCCCTCTTACCTCTATAAAGACCGAAAAAGCCCTCGTGTCGGACCACCTTGGTGAAACAGTCCAAACTATTCTCGTACATCAGTTCCCCTACCAACCCTCCACGCTGGTTCTGCATCCTGGTCTTAACCAAATCGATAGGATAGACGGCCGTGGCACCAACGGCTGAGGGGAAAAAATCAAGAACACAGATTACAATCCAATTAAACAGTGAAGAAAAAAAGTGAATACAACACTGTGGCCTCCTGTAAGGTCAACAATAATATATAACACAGTAATGCACACCAGTATAAAATGCCAGTGATAAGTCAAACATTACTCTAAAAAACAGGTCCTGGGGTGTTGGACAAATTTAATTATCGTCTGATCAGAACATTTTTTGAAAGTATAGTAGTTGCACTTGAAGAAGTAATACTTTTGTATAACCCAGTGATTTGGATTAACGAGTGCATAAATTGTTTCACACAACATGGTGCGCACACATGCACAGACTCTCTCACTTTAAGTCAAACCTCATACAAGTATGTGGGAAGTCTATAGTGTTACACAATCAACACTAAACCAGACTAGCACTTAACCACACCATGTTTACCACAGTACATGCATACATGCATAAGTGCCACAGATATGCAGATGGTGTTAACCTCTACGCCTAAATGAAACAAAGTCTTTCCTATGAGACCTCCAAGAAATCAGCAGTCACTGGTGCCCTCAGATAAATAAGAGAAAGCTATGGCTATGGCCATGGCCCCAGTCACTCACCCCCAGCAATGGCTCCCAGACAGAACCTGTAGATGGACTCTGCCACCTGGATCAAGACCGTCCTTTTCACTTCTTGCTTAGGTTGCTGTATCTGCATCTCGCCAACCAGATCATTTTTAGGTGCTACTCTGTCTATGTCACTCATTGTGATACGACTGTTCACCAAAAACGTTATTAACAAATATTAAAAACAACTCTGGAAGAATACAATAATGCTCCAAACTTTAGGTTATTGTAAATACACCAAAATAGTCAATTGTCTGATTTTGTCAGTTGATACTGATTTTGTCCAATTAACTATGAGCAATTTTACAAACTTTACTTGGTAGATGGTGCTATTCTTGTACCACATGATCACTAAACCAAAGAAGAAATAATTACCCAGTCGAGCTTTCCAGACAGCAAAGGTGAAACAAAATGGAGACTTCTAGGGGCGTGATCTGTGAGTACTCTTGTGCGACGTGTAAAAACTCCTCTAGAGAGAAAGTAAGCAAGAAATGTTGTTCATTAACAGATATCTAAACCACCCTTTAAATCTTGACTAGAAAACACAACTTTGCTATTCAGAATACTGGAAGCAAACTTGGAAAGTCAAGAATTACCCCTACCCTCAGTTAAAACCCTTTTTGAATTTTTGTTCTCAAGAGGATTTGAATAACTAGGATTGAGGGACATCTGCAACTTTGGAAGTTAATGGCATTCCTTTCCTGCACCGTCAGGAATAGATCGATCTCCTAGCAAGCATTTAACGGATGGAAACTGAATAAGATCCCAATTTCAACACAAGATGCTCCTTGGAGAAAGATCCAAGCGGCCAAGTTTTAAAATACTCCCAAAATTCTACCTTCACTGTTCACTCACTGGTAATGGACTTGATTCACAAGATGTTCATGTTCGGTCTTGCTCTCTGAATCCACTTCATTTACTGAACACTATGCAATGTGATGGAGCCCAACTATTCTGCTTTAATTATACAGTTACAGCCTTACTATGAAAAAAGAGTTTTAATCTGTACAAAAAATACAGCCATAACCTTTTAATCTATAAATTTAAAACTACCCAGTGAAGCACGAGGAAAATTAGCTACAATTTGCCCCTACAGCATCATCCTCATTCCTGCGCACTATGATTACATTTGTGTGTATTATTTTCAATACTTGTCTTTACGGATGTAAGTGCAAGAAAATGTTGCATGCACATTACTCCAGGATCCCTTTGTGTGATCAACAGCTACGTTTCTTGCCTACGTTTCTTCTCTATCTTGAAATAACCTACCGGTAGTAAAGCTTAAGTCTAATTCTTGCCTGCTCGCACGATATGTCCACTTTATACCTGTGGGTGATACTCCAGTGCACGCACCCAGGCGCATACTCGTGTTAACACATTACATTCAAACACAGCCACCAAGTTTTTAGAAAGTTTTTACAGGGATCACTTCTGACTCAAGCCAATTCTTTGTAAGAGGGAATGCCTGTACAGACATGATGTCTGATGCCTATAAAATGTTCACATGGGGACTCCAACACAAAGTAAAAAAACCAGTGTTACAATTGCTTTCTACGTGTACCTTTAGTGACACCAGATTTAGAGTCAGCGTTTGTCATGTCTGAGTGGATTTTCTTCATGAGCTCCATTCTGCTAAGGAGGGAGTTGAAGGCGATGAAATAAGGAAAACTGACTAGATGCTTAGTCTCTCCTCCAGCCACCTGTGGACCAAAAAAATAAACCGAGCAATTTAAGCCCGGAGTGAGACATTCGAAGACCTCAGTATGGAATCTACACGTAGCACCAGGGTCCAGGAAATCATGGCCTAGGGACCTGACCTTGTGTCAAATATGTGTATGAGGACAGCTATACTGTCCTCAAAAATTCTAACATCCTGTTGGCTGCTGTGCAGCTCAACAATGTGGCCTTTCTTGTGGTCAGATTGGTTTGATAATTGTCAAGGAATATTGAAACTATTCTCATGCCTCTTGACATGAACCCCTAATGACTAATGTGCCAATCGTTCCCAGATTTTTTTTTCAAGGGAAAGCTATTGAAGAGAGCTACTGTGCTCAGTCTCGAGCTGCAGAGTTCAAAGAAAGAGTCTGTCCTACATTCCCAAGACCTAAAGACCTAGCGCTAGGACCTTAATATATGTACATGTATGTAAATCCCAAAACTTTATGACTCTTCATTGCTGATTCCAATTCACAAGCTGAGTTTTAAGCGCATGCCTTGGACAAAAACTAGACTATTCCTCAAGACAAAGTGCAAAAAGTGCATTGTTTGGTCTCCTAATAGTGCCAAACTTCAGAAAAGACCTACGATTTCAAAGACTCAAAGATTTCAAACATCCAAGACTTAAGTCAGAAGCTTCAGCGATTAAGGTACTAAATCGAAAATACAAATTCGGAAGCAAACATTGGATGAGAAGCATTACTGGCAGAGTGAGCTTTAGCCAGAAAAGTCTATGCTCAGCAATAGTTTATGTTCAGGGTCCCAGACCACCTACTGAGACAAGGTTTTCTGCAACATAGTCGGTGATTAGGTGAGACTTGATTGTGGTCATGATCTTGCGGAACTCCAAGGCATTGATGACACCCAGGTTGCTCTCGTCGAACAGGTCAAAGGCTTGCCTGGCATGTTCCTCTTGGAGAACCTGTTTTGAATGAGCAAGAAATGGTTATGTTTAATAAGCAAGAAGTCAGCCTGTAACAACAGTCTTTAAATAAAAAAACCTTCTACATCTTGTGTATGAATTTGATTTCAACACAACTATTTGGCAATCAGCTGTTTCATGTCACTCGTTTGTCAAGTAATATTTGAGAATGTGTTATTCAGTTTCATTTCACCTTTTGACAAATTTTTTAACTACTTTTAAACTGTAATACTTATAAAGATGCCACTGACCATGCTTTCTGTCACTGCCAGGCTGCTGCTTGTCTCATTTGTGTTTTCATCCTTACACAGCTTGTATTAAGTCACTTTTCTCTCAAAGGAATGTGTAAATTTTGGACGTGACTGAAGAAATACACTCATTGTAAGTGCAATATCGTCTTAAACGTAGTCATCCTTAAATCCGGTTTGACTGTATGTTCTCTATACAAACTGTGAAGAATGACTTCCTGAGCTGTGACCAACTGCAGAAATGAAACATCAATGCTTACCCACAGAAACTGAGTAAACTCTGCATACGACAACTCCTTCTTTTTGTCTTTGCCAAAGTGCCGGCCGACAAATGCGCAGTTAAAGTCAAACGGAATCTGTTGATGAACCTCAGTGGCACTGTACACTTTCTTGAACTCGTCTAGAAAAAAAAAAGAAATAAAAGGACTAAAAGCACACACTGGAAACGAGATTTTAAAAACTCACCAAAAAGGTTGTCACTTGGTGTGTAAATAAATTCAGCCACACCCACATTGGAACAGCATGCATCATGGGAAATATCCAACAAATCGAAGACATTGCCAACAACTTGCTGCCGGGTGGTTGAAAAATGCAGTGCACATAATTGGGACACTTTCAAGATTTTCAGTTTTTAAAATTCTTCAAAAATTCATCATTTCAATTAATAGACGTTTACACCAACACGAATGACTGTCTGGTGGCCACTTTAGTCTGACAGACAAAATCTATTGACGCCCGAGTATTTCAGCCAGGTCTGCAGCCTTGTAAAAAGAGCCCAGATTGTGCGGTGTTATGTAAATTTCTTTTGTTCACGAACCTGTCACAGTGCGCTGCTGACCTCTTTTCAATAGGGGCCAGATTAGCGTGCAGCGTGGCTCATCGCTGTGGTGGTGTAGTGCAGTGGTGGATTGAGTGGTGGTGCAGTAGTAATCTGCTCGCACTAAATGCCCCGTATACTGTTTTTAGAACAAGGCTGGATTATCTCCACTATTGAGAGTGAAAAAATGTTGGTAATGCCCAGCAACCTGGTCTTTTGTTCCGAGTACAGTCTTTTGTTACAAGGTCCAGTTCCCTTTGTCCGATTTCGGAGACCCCGGCTGAGAGTATGAAGCATACGTGTCCAGTACCGCAAACCCTGGCAGCAAGTGCTTCAGTGCATACACATTCTGGACTAGGTAACAAATTCAGTAGTTTTTGTTTTTTTGGTTTATATATTTTTTTGCACACAATTACACATGTGATCATCATTGTTGGGTGGTACAAACAACAATACAGCACATATGACTTTGTGGATGCACGATGATATTCCTACATACACACGTATATGTACACAGGTAGTCAACTGTGCAGTCTAACCCCAACCCCCAGGGTTTCAAATATTTAATGGAAATTGGAACAGAAATCCTGCACCTAAAGGACAATTACATGTAAATTCCATGACTTTTCCCATGACCAAATTATGAAAATCCATAATCAAATAAGTTCATGCACTTTCTTGGACTATTTGGACCTTTAAAGTTGCGAATAAAATCTAAAATAAAATAAATTTCTAATAGAAATCACACACAGTGTTTGATAAATTCCATAATTTTTCCATGACTTTAGTCCTTTTGAAAAATTCCATGACTTGTCCAGGCCCGGAAAACGAAAACAAACTTCCATGACTTTTTCATGACTTGTCCAGGCTGCGGGAACCTTGTTGGTATACAGTGAACTGTCAAAGCTAAAATGGTTGCTCGGTGGCACACTCTACCAAGATTCTCCTAGGCAGCAATACTTGCAGTTGATTTTTGATTTTTAAATGCAAGGTGACGCGAAAACCTTACTCTCTGCTTTTATTTGACTTCATTTGTTCTTTTTCTCTACAGCAAGAAACTAGCAGGGACAAGTAAAACATACTGTACAGTATTTCCTAGTCTTGGCTAACACTGAGTCCGACCAACAGTAAATACCAAGGCCCGATATTATTGACTTCCACACAATTCATTTAATTGTTTCATACATACTGAGAGTTAATTTCAGACAAAAAAAGTCAAACCAAAATACGACTCCATCATAAAACAGTGCTCTAAGGCATAATTAATGTAAACCCACAACCCCAAATGCATGAAAATGAATGTCAATATTCAAACTGTGATTTTGTTTACTGTTCTTTCATTGCTATGTACATGTATACCCAAATGCTACACAATGTACATGTATCTCAGCAACATCAATCAGCAGCACAAAAAATAGGTATGACAGTCAATTAAAGGACCATGCACTACAATGAAAAAGGAAAGATGGAACATGCAGACGACAATCTTCAAAACAATAAAAATAATCCACTTACAAGTTGAATTGACCAGTGTCAGTCCATATTTAAAACGACGCTTCTGCTAACAACTTTTATTTTAAAGGCTAAAATCTCCAAGCATGAAATTAAAGTCAATTTTGGTAATTGCCAGGCCTAAAGCAGATATTGGCGGACAGCTACATATATCTAAAGGAAATGTCAAGGTACAGGTTGTATTAATAAAGACAATCCAAACAGAATGGACTGTGACTACAGAGATGCAAGTGAGCATCAATAGGAAAGCTTCTAAACTACCTTTTCAAATGCAACCATATTTAGAGTGTTTAGCATCTTATTTAATGTACCAATCCATTATATTCGGATTGTTTTTTTAATAGCCTGTAACTAACCTAACTAAAATGCAAAAGTTCTTTTTGGTGTTGAGAACGTATTTGCATGAAGCCCTGTCCTATCAAAAGCTGGTTAGCAGATCGATATTGACCATGCTACATGTAGTACGTATTTTTGTCTAACCACTTTGTTTCCCCTTATTTCATGCTCTGAAATTTACAAAGTGTGGAGAGCCTGACGTTTCAATCCTAGCAATCTTTCTCAAAGGCGAAATGACAAGCACATGTACATGAAGACAGGACAAACAAGCAAACAGGGAATCAGCCAAGCATGGACAAATAAAGGAGGACAAAAGGAAAAGTCAAGAAAGCTGCAGGCTGGATAAAGGGGCAAGGGATAAAGGGGACTGCATGAAAGGTATGGTTGAGCAATTAAGGGATGCAAGGTGGGAAGAGATCAAAGAAAATACAATGGAACAACCTGGACCCCAAGTGGGGGGGGGGTGTAATCCGCAGACAAAAGAGAGGGGGAAAAAAGTGTTAATTACTAATTTCCCTCTTGGATGTTCAGGCCATGGGATTGTATGGTTTGATCCAAAACTTCTCCCTGTTGAAATGAACAGCATCTTTACGGTGCCCAAGTGATTCTATGCCCTTTAAGATCATGTCAGACATAGATGGTTAGGAAGGTTGAAATGGTAGCCCACAGGGGTATCTAGTCGTTTGGTGTTGACCGTAGATCTGTGGCCACAGAAACACTTTTGGAGAGTGTTCTTGGTCTCTACAACACACTGTACACCGCGCAAGAGATAAGACATATGATATTAGAAGAGCTACAAGTGATAGTGCCTTTGGTTCTGTGGGTGGTACATGTACCAAAGGAGTGTCCAAAGAATGTATCCCTTTCCAGGACATCGTTCTGGCAGACAACATGTCTGTTAGATTCATTATATAGAGTTATGAAGAGGCAAGCAAAGGAGGGAGCCACGCGAGTGGCCACAGCTGTGCCATGTACCGGTGCCTGTAGATAGTGTTTGCCCATGAAAAAGAAATTGTTCTCTGTTAGTACAAGTCTCATAAGTGTCGCGACATCAATGATCGGGGGTGTTGTGAGTCCGCTCTGCACAAGGGCAGAGCAGCAGGCAAAAATACCTTCTTCGTGGGGAATGTTAATATACATCAATGGTCCCAAAGATGGCTGTCCTGGGAATCTGGCTTTTTATGTTTTCCAGCTTTTGTAGGAAGTCTGGCATGTCGTGGATATATGACAGGATCCGTGGAATGAGGGGCTTGAGAAAAGTGTCAATGAACAATGATATGTGTTCAGTGGGCGATCAATTTCCAGAAACGATGGGTCTCCCCAAAGCCTCAATATTACTTTTATTTCAACTACTTGTCTATAGGGCAAGTAGCACTGAAAATTTACTTGCCCGACACAAGATTTTATTTGCCCAAACTCTGGTTTAGTTGCTCATGGCTGAGCGGGGACAGTAAGTTCCTTCCTTCAACCAAACACTTTTGATGAAACTGCTATGCCACAATACGACAATTTCTTAACCACTCAACAATTTTGCCTGGTGTCATATATGAAGAAAGTAAGCACACAAGCAGCAGGCAAAATTCACTAACGTTGAAGTCACAGCCACATGTAAAGCAGTCTTTGAGCTTCCGGTCGTCAAAGCTCTGCTGCGCTGCACATGCAATAACCGCTGATGTTTGGTACCGAGACACAAGGGTATTTCAGTTTGTGTACGCATTTTCCCTTCTGTGGAAAGGTGCCCTACTAAATGTACAGCGTGCTTAATACATGTGAGTTTGTACATGTACACGTACATTACAATGCAAAAAACCATTGTTCACCACATAGCTGTTTACTTTTTACCACTTTTTATAAGCTTTTGTGAAGAGGAAAAAAACATATCAAAGGTAAATTTGCTGACTGCTATTTTTGGCCACGAAAAATGGACACTTCTATTTCAAGAAAAAAGTACCATTCAATTGGGCAATTTGTCCTTAATTTCTATTTCCCCGAAAGAAGAAATTACTTGTCCTAGGCAATTGGACAACCGTTAATGAGGAGGCCTGGCCTCCCCAGATTTCCTGCCTTGTGGATCTTGGGGAGTAGGTTAAACTTAACCATTGGGGATAGTAACTTATGAACTTTCTTTGATAGTTGATCACATGAATGCATATCATCTAACACCTGCTGAATCTGTTGTGACAATGTTCCTGTGGGGTCAGAATCAAGGGGGATATAGTTAGTAATGTTGTTGAGTTGGAGATGGGCTTCATCAATGTATTGCTCTGAAATTTAAACACCTTTAGAATCCAGCAACTCAAGCACTGGCTGAATCAGTAGCCACTGAGTTTGTGTTAATATCAAAAACAGAAAACTCAATGGAACTTACCAAAAGAAACAAATCCGGAACCGTTGGTGTCAAAGAGCTGGAAGGCCACCATGTGCAAGGCATCGGGGGAACATAGCAGTGCCTCAAACGCTTGGAACTCTATGAAGGAGATTAGTCTGCAGTCAAAAATAAGAGGTCTGCCACTCATTAGTTGTGACTGAATCCAACAGAAAGGGTGTAAGGGCCACATTCCAGCGAGTTTAGTTTACTTTGCTCGAGAAAGAGAACACCAAGCTTGTTGGTTTTGACGTATCACTCAGTTTGGAATGATGATGAACATGGACTTTATATGAGTGAAGAATGTTGAAGGCTCCTGCTGATTAACATTGTGCAAATTCATTGATTCATCAGGCATTTAACTTGAAAGTCGTTCTAGTGACATCAAACTCATTTTGTTCACTTGGGCCACAAGCTACTGGTAAGTTTACCCAAAAAGTCCTTTCATACACAGCAAAGTGATATGACTGTGAAAAAATTTCAGTCATGCAAGGACTCTACCTTCAGTATTTTTCACACACCAAAAACTAGCTGGTCTACATGTATTTGTAACATACCCTACAGGGGTCTGGCGGGCAAATTTTAAATGGCAGCCAAAATTTTAGCTACATGTCAATGCACATTTTTGCAGTCAGTTTGCTTCTTTAACCCTGAAAGAATGGGGGGGGTGGTATCGACACTTCTCTAACAATGTTCAAATGCATTTGTTGTTCCAGACCGAACCTTCAGGAGTTTTTCTAGTAATGTCATCTTTGATTCGTTTTCACACCATTTGGGGGAAAATGCCAAAATTGCAAAATGCCTATCTTCCACCACACTCTTAGGTAGGCCAAAAATGTCATCTTTTCTCATTGACCAGCTCACTGCAAGTGAGCTGACATGCAAGGCCATGAACTACAAATGACCAAAACAGCAAAACCTAAGATTAAACTGAAACTTTAATATACTCCAAAGTGTCTTTACATTATACCAAGTTTAAAAAGATAGGCCATGGGTCAGCCATGTTTCATCCCCCCCGCCCCCTCCCAGGATAATATGGTTCTGAAACAGGCAGTCTTTTACAGCTAATGCAGAGCAAAGTAATAAATTATTAGTACAACAAAAACTTGCAAATTTATGCCACTTGATCTTCATGTACATGTACCTCCCTGACACTGAACAACAAGTGAGTCTCGGTTGGATGACTGTCAAACAACATCTGGCTTTTTCAGTATCTTTATTCCCAGCGTTACGTTACAATGTAACATTTGGCAGTCAGTTTTTGATGGTCAGCAATAATGCCAACATCCATAGATACTGGCAAAAGCCAACCCCATTCTGTGTGCATTTTGAACTGTGGCTGACGCTACATGTACATCTCCATCAAATTTGTTTTCCATGTATACCTTAACTCTTCAAAATCCACTGAGGTTTCAAAGGATGTTGTACCGTAGGATTGAGGAAGAACACAAGAAGTAGTTGTAGACAGTATTATTCCACAGCCCGAGTCCCTTGCAGCATTGAACTCTACAAGTTTTGTGCGACATTTCATATTCCATCACACTTTCTTTTTACATTTCAAGATAATGTCTAGGAATGAGATTTGTGGCAATGCCTGGCTGTGGCACAAAGCCGCTTGAGGGAAGGCTTCACACAAGCTCAACCTCCACAGACTAGCTCATTCTCTGTGTGTGCCCAACACAGTAAAGGGAAATTGTATACAAAAGCGCTCCGGGGAATCACTCAACTACATGTAGAGATGGCAGTGGCATGTTCCTGTCTCCTGTAAAGGCAAATCCTTGCTGTTTACACATCATCCAGCGTGAACTACCTAAGTATAAAGAAGACACCACTTACGCCTTGGACTATGAAGGATTTGGGAGGATTTCGGAAGGACAACAAACTCCTCGGGAGTTTGACAGGGTGGATGTACTGAGAAACAATTGTTCCTACCCATCCTTGGTCTGGTCAGCTACACCAGCTAACAGCTTCATGGTGTTTGGGTTGTAATTCCTCTCCGGCTGCATGCCCAGGAAGCCTCGGATGAAATCCTCTGCCGTCATAAACTTCTCCCCTTCCTTTTCTGCACCTGCATACTGAAACGTATATGTACACACTTCATAATCAGTCACTGGAACACAACTGTGACCCTTTTCCCCTCGACTTCTGATAAAATTTAAGTTTGTCAAAGCTACAGTATTCGTGTTAAGTGCCCAACAAGTCAACGTCACTGATGACACTAGGATTTAAACAATACGAGGTGTGTTGGTATATATTCTAATCATGTCTTCTCCAAATCCAACACTTACAAATGTGCACATGGGTACCGCTAGGCATTCACCGCGTTCAGGGGACAAGTTCTTTTGTTAAGGAAATTTGAACCAAGATGTGGGACATATTTTCAAGTCCCCACAACATTTTTGGTCCCCACAAAATAATTGAAATGCCGAGTGTATGTCCCCATAACTATGGTGCGGGAGTGAGAGTACCTGTAGATAAGGTCCCACAACATGTTGTCACTAGGTACTGTAGGTGACAAAGTAATCCATCTAATCCGTCATATGAACATTATCACGGTGAAAGTTTTTGCTAACGAGTGTTTGACTTACATGACAGGCCACTACAAAAACAGAACAAAACCCCCTCCAAATTAGAAAGCGTTAAAAAATCCCATGCAGCAAATAAAACATAAATTATCAAATTTTTTATACTACTACTTTATGAAAACATCCTCTTACACTGAAGGTTCAAGTGTGCCTTTTAATGCTAAAAGAGCCAGGGCCCACCCCATCAACGTTTTCTCCAATACTGTCACAGTGCTTTCTTTTTTGAGAGCCGAGTCTTAAGGACATTTTGCGGTTACATCTTGCAGTCATTTCGACACCAATTTTGTGACATTTGGACATGGTGTTTTTGCACAGTGCCAATTTTCTCAGACAAGTAATATTTAATGCATGGAAATCAGTGAATGCAGACAACAGGTGAGAGGCCAAGAACTTCAAACAACCATAACATCAGGGCCTAGGGGTTAGGGTTATTAGGCGAGCTCCATCAAATCAAGTTCAACTGGAGTTTTAAGCAAATTTAAAATGGTGTTTCAACGTACCGTTAGACTCACTAGAATAGCAATAGTAAGGGACTTCATCTCATGGTCTGAGGGTTAGATTTATCTTTCAGAGAAAAACCTTGGTCCAAATGGAGGACAAATTTTTCCCACACACTTTTTTTATACATTTCTGCTTGTTTAATAGTTTGTTTGCTACTGGTGTGTATTTTATTTGTTTACTTAAAAACTCTTTAATCATCCAGTTAACCTTGAACAATTGGTAACTAATACACGTCAAACTTATTAGTTAAGTTTATTAATTCTATTTTCATTATGTATGTTGTTTTGATGGCCAGATAAGTGAATTATATGTTTAGAGGTAAGAAATATGGCAGCATAAAATTGAGACATATCCAGTTCTATAACCTGACCAACAAGTAAGTCATAACATATGTACGTGAAGGTTTTCAGATAACCCACTTCTTTTAACCTCGGGGAATGGGAAGGAAACGTTTCATACACTTACCTTGTTGAAGATCTGCCTCAGCAGGGCAGGGTCAGCTCTCTTGACAAGATGAAGTGTCTATGAAAAACATCATGAACAAGTTATTGGAAATTTTCCCTTTGTAAAATTTTATTTATTCCATGCACACTGTCAAATATGGCTAAAGGTGAACGGGAAACGGTGAACTTAATTAATGTGTTTAATGCAAGGCAATGCCCTTTCAATGTCAGAGATTGCAATGGTTGATGTCCTTCTTTCATGCTCCAAGAATTTGGAAGCAATGTTCAGTAGCATTTTAAAAGTACACTTAGTGTCTATTCTAAATTTATACTTGCTCAAAGATGTACTAATTCTTGTTGGTGGAAGGTTTCAGATAGGGTTGGCTGTAAACCTTTTGGAAGAGGTTTGCAACCCAAATAAGGGACGATCAAAGAACCACATATTTCCACAGATAATACATACATGAAAACAACAGAATTAAAACAGAATGGACTCAACTGGAGATATTGAATATGAAAAAGTTAACATAAATAACAAACAAATGATGAAAGCTTATAAAGAACAAGTCTATAAACAAACGATGAATGTCTACAAGTGCAATGACAACAATAATAACATCAAAAAAAAATATTCTTTCCTTTTGCACAAAAGTGAAAGCATTGATTATTTGTCTAAGATTCACCCAGTACATTACATTCTAATTGAACACAAGTCAACTGTCCATTCAGCTTGAGAAAAACTGAAATTGTTAGAGGAAACGTTGTTCAAGATAATCTTTTTTAAACTTGGTGTTTACAAAGCTCTTTCAAGCATCAAAATGGCGGGATGTGGAACACTTTCCCTGAAAAGTGATGATGGCGCTTTTCACCATTCCTACATGTAGTTCATCCCGTTCCTTCATAGGGCAAAAAACTGCCATTTCTGTTGCAGGATCCGGAACTTGACTGCTGTTGTAGGGCCAGTGCCATAAACTTTTCTCAGACACACATTTTGTGCAATTTTATCCTCTTCTTCAATGCATGAACACTAAGTACCTTGCATGGGGAGGTGGCAAAGTGTACTGAAAAGTGCATTTTCTAATTGTCCACGCTTTTTCGGTCCCGAAGGCACTGTTGCTTTGATGTCATTCGGGGAAGATACCGTTCGCTTTGACTATTTTTCTGTTCAAATTGTGAACCCAACATTTGTTCACTGAAAACATCACTGAGAAAGGTTTGCTTGTTGACTTTAATATTAATATTGCCATGCAACAATGAATCACCAAAGAAAGACGTTTAAGCCAGCAATATATGACCATGTCCAGAAGGTTTGTGTGTGTGTTTTGCATAATGTGAATATTTATGAGCACTTTCGTTACCACTTAGAATGATGCAAGCCTATAATGTACATGTAGCAAAACAAGACAGGAAAAATGGATTTTGATTTGATTTATTCACCAGGTGAAACAGAGACATCTCGACTGAAATTAATACATTAAACAACACACAAAAAAACCCTGTGGAAAGAGTAGTATAAAACGTATTTCTAATCCCATTACGGTTGCGGTCCTAAGTTATTAGGATAGATTGTGCCTGTGACTAGGCTTATGAATATCTAAATCTGAACTTTTCCCTTAATTAGAAGTGGTGATTTATTTCCATTAATTTTGTGGTAATTGCATCACATCCAGTGTCCGTTCAAAGCTTATTCTTATTGTTGGGGTTCAAAAATTGTCAAAAAGTGGCCAATGGGTAGGCCCTATGGAATTTTTGTCAGCAAAGACAGACTACCAAATTTGTTTTGTCTAAGTGAGTAAGCCTAGTAAAGTAGTAAGACTTGAGGGGCTAGCATTAGGCCTATGCCGTTAGGCTTTAAAATGTGCAAAAGTTTGAAAGTTGGCTGATGTATTTATTACGTCTGCTAAAAATCAAATGAAACAAATTGTTCAATTCAAAGCAACAGCAGGAAAGAGCATGTAGGTGCAAGGGGGGCGGGAACCAGGGGCAGGGCAAGACGGTGCCCAGAAACTACAGACTACAGTACAGACACAGGTAAAGCATTGAAAATTGTTCGCGTTCCCTACCTGAGCTCCAGGTGCCGGCTGGCAGCTTGCATGAGTATGAAACATCTTGACGCCTGGTTCCTTGTTTCAGTCTTAGGAAATGAGACTCAAATATCACTTGCACATGGATCAAACGAGGAACTCTAATCTTGCAAGAAATTGTGAGGCAAATTCCCAAACACAGGGAATAGGCCCAGGCTCTGCAACTTCTCACCAACTGTCTCGTTTGCACGACAAAATTCCCCTCGAGTGACCTTTTATTACTTTATGTTAATTGCAGGATGACTTGCACCATATTAGGGAAATAGGCATCCAAATATGGAGCCTGCATGTGATTGAAGTGATTTTATTGGTGGAATGCCGAAGATCCTCGTGAATTAATCATAAACTTGCTACAAATCCTAAAAATGTGCTGCAGTTCAGACAAAATTGATTTAGCGATACTATCACTTTTTATACTTAAAAATATATAAATATTCTATTGACACAATAATAATCGCGTATTCTGTGTAGAACTCTGGCAGAATCGGCAAGACTCATGCAATCATACAATATTTTTTGCTGGAAAATTGTACACTCAGTTTCAGTTTACTCTTTGAAGTCTAATAATTGTTTGGCAACTAGACAACTATAAGCTTTCTACAATACATTTATGCAATGCTACCATACTACTCGCTTCTAATTTTAGGTGAAAGGTCATTTGTTTACGACTGATTGCGCGCTAGCGCGAAATGTCGAAAAATGGCGGGTAAGTAGATGATATAACTTTTAGAAATTTAAGCGAGACCCGTGACTGTAATCCTGTAGCATAAGGTTAATCATTTGATATTGCCAGTTTTGACGATCATCATTTTGTCACAATTTAAGGGTTTGCGAAATGACGACAAACACATGAGATGAGAAAGGTATCTAGGCCTAGCAATTGGATCAAAGCGAATAAATGAACACCCAATATACATGTAGGCCTAGGCCTAAATGTTGTTTTGCAATAAACACCAACTGCCTACTGGAATCTATATTGAGGATAGAGAGATAACAAACACTGACACAAGGAAATTCTTGGGAATTCTATTATATTATTTATTCTATGTTTAACTTGGAATAAACACATTTGTCATCAGTCATATTTCTACTGTTATGCTGAAACCATGGAGGTAGGAAAGTTAAACATACATGTTGATGTAGGTAGGCTATAAAAAGTATAAGCCATTTCGAAGTTTCAATCGCGCATGCGCCAACCGGCCTTGACAACCCTTTTTTTGGATAAACAAATCGCACTGTTCCACAGCAACGTATGTTTTGCAGTGGGTAGTAAGTAAGTTTTTCGGATTCCCGTTCCGATTCACATCGAATTGCAAAAGAAAAAGGATGCTCTACTGTGTGCCTTGAATATATACAACAGGCGACCTCATAATCTCCTCATTTTTTTTGGTAAATTCATATCACTGCAAAAAGTTCAAAATAACTCGATTTAAAACTCGTACATCATTCTTAGTACTCGTAGGCCTACGCCCATGTCATACCGTAACACTGCACTGTAGGCCTATGTACATTGGCTCATAATTAAGATCCTTCGTCCTATAAAGAGTATTCGTTGGGCCCTGTTTGGTAAAATGCGTAACAAAATACGCGCGAGCAAATTTCAACGGTGGTCTAGTAACATACATGTACATCGTGGACCAGAACATGCACGCCGATCCATTTGTAAATATCTCACAAAAGTCCCATTATGGTCCAAGCCGTGATCCAAGCAAAACTGACTTTGTGGGTTGTTAAAAAACTTTATCAAAGGTAAGACAAAGATCAGCACAAAAAGCTGAAAATTTGGTTTAATTACGTACTAGTTCAACCACTTCGCACAGCTGATCGACAGATCTCCGCGCAGGCTTCTGCACAACTCCTCATGCACGAAACGCCAGCTGCCTATGCCATGTGGGGTTTGTTTATCCAAGTTCAATCCCAGAATTCCTTGCGCACCCGAAACATCGAAATGGCTTATTATCTCAAAGTCATAGTTGAAATTGATTTCCTCATTTCCTCTTTATATATATAATACCCTTATACTACCGTACACAACATATGGGATTATTGCATGGGCTAATAGTAGTAGTAGTTATCTTAATCGAATTCTCAAATTACACGAAAAGGTTCTGTGTATTATCAATAGGCCTAGGCCTAATTCTAATTACAATGAACCTAGTACTTCTCTCTTATAACTCTAACGTCTCAAAAGTTCATGATATCTATCATCTTCAGCTGGGTTCCCTCATGCACCAACTCAACAGTAACAAATTGCCTACGTCAGTATGTTCACTGTTTAAAAAAATGATGGAATCCACAGTTATTTTACACAACAATATCATAAATTTTACAGGGATCATACCTGGACTGCATTTTCTAAAGCTACTGTAAAACATGAGGGGCCAAAGCTGTGGAGCTCAATTGACAATTCATTGAAAAAAATTGCCTCTAGGTTTAAGTGTAAATAGAAATATAAATTATTAAATAACTATTTATTTATCAATTAATGTTATATAGCACAGGGTTACAGCCTATGTGTTACTATTTGCATATTATTTATTTTTGCATATTATTTTTTTAGTTAGCTAGTAATATTTACAAATAGGTCATTTGGGAGACATTTTCACATACATACAGAAAGCAGCTGTAGCCAATTTCATGTCCTGTGTATTGATTGCAGCCATAGTTTACCTGCCAAGCCTTAAACTTCGAAGTTTGTGAATATCTGCGTCCCAAATCTATTTAATGCAACACTGTGTCAGAAGGGGATGGTTTGAATTAGAGTATGAAATATAAAGGAAACAGATTAACATTTTGCAGGCACACTTCTCCAAAAGGGTTGTGCACAAAATGCATTGCATGTTTGTCATCCAAACCCTTAATGCATTACAAACGTTGATAAGGTTTATTGAATTTTGAATTAATCCGTCAGGTCTGTCACTAAGTAAGAGTTAGGGGCCTAATTCTACTAATTTCTTATTTTGAATACTAATTTGTGATTTTGAAATACTGATTTTGAACTGTCAAATGATTAACTCATAAAATCAAACAAATAATTTGCTAGCTTATTTTGAATTACTGATTTGTTATTTTGAATTACTAATTCATTATTTCAAATTTCTAATTCATTAGTTTGAATTGCTGATTTGTTATTACAAATTATTGACAGCATGTGGTAGGGACCGAAATGGGCTACTGCGCACTTGCTCATAGATAGTTTTTGTGTACAAAAGCGTGGCTGCCTGACTCCCCGTGCACATGATGCAGTAAAATTGATTTCTAGCCCCAAGGACCACATTATTTTCATGTATTTTTGCATGAATGGGTAGGGTTTGACTAGCTCAAATTCCTCTTTGAAAGTTCTGTGAAAAAAACAAAGTTTTCTGGAAGTTTGTAATCTGTTTAAAACGGGCATTATATAAAGTGGCATTTTAGAGTCTTTCTGGTACATCGACAAGAAACTAGCAATCAATTTTTAAAAAATTGGGTCAGAACACCTTAGAAAGAATAAAAGATTGAGGTTTAGATCCTGAGTGTGAGCACATTTGACCACCGATCAATGAAGTGCTCCGTGATTTTCCGAATGGACACTGCCGGGCGTGCGTGCGCGATGGCCAGTGAACATGGCGTCCAAGTAGCCTCACACTTGCCTTTGCCGTGCCTTTTGTGATTTTGTCTATGGTGTCATGAGTTCATGCTTGTCACTAAGCACTTTAAAATTTTTTTTTTTTTTCAATTATATTTGGTGGCTCTTCTGACTTTGTTCCTCTCAATTCTAACTAAAAATTGTACATTCGAAAACGAAATTGTGTTTGGGGGATTTACCATATTTTGCAATTGTTCAGCTACATGTACTTGTGAACGTCATCCTCAACAAATTGATTTTATGGGGTTATAGTTAATTTCCTTCTTGTACTTTGTGCATAATTGTGTAGTGACTGGGGCAGTAGTTAATTAAGAATACCTTTTCAAAACTTCATATTATGCTCATAGTGTACATTCAACTAACAGACACATGTACCAGTATTACACACAATCATGCATTGAAGAATTTATCGCTAAATATTCTGCTCAAATGTGAACTTCATTTTGCTGTAGTTATCAGAGCAAATTACAATGACCTTATGGAGACATCACTTTTCTAAGGGACGCAACCACTCTTTGTCACAAGAAATGAAAAAAAAAGCTGTGCAGCGCCTGCCAATCCAGATATATGTCAATTTGCTTGCCAAGTTGTTTACAGTGTCAACATTTTTGTAAACAAAATAAATTGAAAATAACTACCCACTGGAACATAGCTTTGGGCTATTTTTTGGACAAAACAAACATGGGTATTTTCTTGTCATGTACAGCACAGATTTCATGAATTCAAAAGAATCTTTTATTATTTATGATAAAACTGAGGATTAGACCAGTTGCCATGGCAAGGATAACAACCAAATGTGCCAATTTTGGCATCATTGTTACAACTGTGCAGAATTGCTTCCCTTGGATACCTGTAAAAGAAAGAAGGAGGAAATGCAGTACAAAGTTGAAGAGTTATTAGCACCTTAAAATGTTTACATGATTGTTCACATGAAGAAACGAGCTTCTCTGGTACCAAAATTAACCAAAACTCTCATCAAGAAATGGAACAGAAAAAAGGGCTTTACAAATGAGTGTACAGTATCTCTGCAACCCCTTGACCGGTTTTGTTCATTTTGGTGCCAAATGACTCAGAATTACGTGACTGGTAAGACTGACTCACAGTAAAATGAAATTATCTTCTTTGAAAATTCCCATTGCAGTCCCTACATATGGCAGCAGTTTCGTCTTGGGTATCAGCATGTGTGTAGTACCTAACCACTCACTGAATTTGGATAAGGTACCGGTATCATGCACCTGGGAGTGATGCCATGTTCAGACATTGCAGACGTTGTTTGTTTTTGTGTGCAGCTTGTAGGTTTTGTGAATGTAACTTCTATAACTTCTATAACTAATCCATAATTAATTACTAATCCCTAATAACAAATTAGTAATTCAAAATAACAAATTAGTAATTTGTTATGGGGATTGTAAATTTGGGCCCTCCCCCATTTATAGTCACTTTTACTAATAAAGGTCGGTCATGAAAAAGAGTATTACTCATGCAATGTCTCTTGATTGTCATGACCCTATTTGGGTTACATTTGGAAGAGTAAATCGGGAGATTAATGTGACTTTCTTACCTATGTCTGTCAACATAAATGCTCAGTCAACTTGACGCACAGGAACATGGCGTACTGTGTGAGCTTTGGCTGTTCTCTTTAATACTCTTACTCCCTAATCTGATTTTTCAACCAATCAGAGATCCACTTTCTAAGGAAACTTTCTAGTAACCTATTGGAGATACTGTACCAAGCATGTTTCACTATGTCGCCATGTGGACCCAAGCATGCACGGTCTGGCTGTTACCTTCAATACTCTTTCTCCCTAATCGGCTCATCTCGACCAGTCAGAGATCAGCTTTCTAATGAAACTTCTCAGATACCAGAGACATTCTACCAAGCCCATTTTGACATTATCGCCATGTTTATTTTCAGTGGATGCTTGCATACATGGTCTGTGTCAATTTCATTTTTACCCCATAATTTCCCTCAAAAATCAAACTCTGCACTCTCTCTACAAAATTAACCCTGCAGTTGATGAAATAATGTTATTGTGATCTAGTTTGGTGAGTCTGAAAGTTTAAATCTAATTCCTCCTATATAGGAAAGGGGTCATGAAATTTTCAAATGCCTTTGTAATAAGGAATTAGTAATTTGAAAAAATGGATCAGTTCTCACTGAAATTTTTTTCAATGGCATGTTTGGGATTTCATATTGGGTTAGCTGAAACTTCATTTTTCACTTCACACTCACGCCACTGAAAATTGGAAAACAATGTAGAAAGTATTGCAAAGATTAGACTTTCCTTGTTTTTTGTGAAAGTCCAAGTTGCATGCCCACATGTTAATTTGCTGGTGGGGACTTTAGGAAGAACCAAATCCTTGGCCACTGCATGATTCTCTTTGACGCCTTTGAGGCTGTTCAACCAAACTACAGTGTTCATGTTGCACAAGAATCAGGCAATGGGAAGTCCTCCATTCAATATGCAAAGAGAATACAACTTTTTTGTATCAAGGTAGAGATTTTTACTGCACAAAACAGTGAAATGTTTAACATGAAAGGTGTAGTGGAGGTGTACAGGGAGTCAGGACTTCTGTGGTCCAGGTTCGAATCCCAACTCAGTTCACATATGGAGTGGGTTTTCAGTCCCTACCTGATTCCACAGGTTTTGCCTAGAATTTTCCTCTGGGGTTTTCCTCCCATCTCTAAGACTGTAAAGTGCTTCTCACAGTCTCGTCTCTACTGGTTTCTTTATTTTATTATGGAGATTCTCACTGTCAAGTTACATATTTGGCTTCCTCTTCTAACCAAGAAATTTAAAAATGAATATTTTAAAAAAGTAAATTAAAAAATTTGGAAATGTTTCTTTGTAACAACATGTAAATGCTATACTCTAACCAGTATTGGTACTGCAGATACTTTTCTTTACAGCAGTTTCAAATACTGTCGTACAGTAGATGCCTGTTGAGATTATGTGCATGTTGAAATGATTTTATTAAATTGCTTCTTCTTGTCTTTCTTGTTTTTGATTTGATTTATTTTGTTTTTTGACAGATTTCACATTGATGAAAAATGTTTTGGAGGAGTATGTCTGTGATGCCAATCAAGTCATTGAGCTCAAGTTAGGTGAGTTTTTGGCAGTTAAATGCTTGTGACATTAAGCGTCATGTTTTCAAGAGAGTATCGATATGCACTCTAACATCATTGATGCTCCTTGTTATGAGTAAGGTGATAAAGTCTGTTAGAAGCCTAAAATCTCTAGGAACTGTGACATCTTATCCCATGCCAGCATGGAAGTACCAGACCAGCTGTGAGCCTACTTTTCTGAGGCACATTCTCTTGCCTAAGTCATTACTACTCCGTTGTAGGACTCACTCCCCCCCATTGTGCTGTGACCATTCTTTAATTGTTGTCTATGCAGGGTTCGAAATTGGGCAATTAAGTAACAAATTCAGCTGTCTAGGGAGCAAGTACTTGCTCCCTAGACAGCTGAATTTGTTACTTTATGGGAGCAAGTAGCTTCCATACAATATTAAAGACAGAGTTTCTTTTCAAGAAAAAAAAGCAAAGACCCTAGTCCTTGCTGTTGCTTTTGTTTAAATTAATGACACTGATAACTTGCGGCTTAGACTTTGGCATAGATTAAAGCCTTGATCTAGTTGTTATTTTTGCGGGTTGCGCGCGACGTACTACTAGTAGTGAGTACGTGACCAACCAGAACCTCAAACATGTGCTTAGCAACACAACGCAAAAGTCGGGCACTGGGCCTTTATAACGTGCATGTGCACACAGACGTAAAAGGGAACTCACTGCAGCAATCAAGCATTTTTGAAACGAGTGGATTAGGCTGAGACTTTAGTTTCGCTGGCTCCAGCTATTTTGGAGCATGGTTCAAAACCACATGTTCAAGCTATGACTGGAACCAGCGAAAGTGAAGTCTAAGCTGAATCCATGCATTTGGCTTGAATTTCCAGTTTCCATACAATTGTGTATGCGTGGGTGTACGCTCATGTGTGTACATGCATTGCATGCGAGACTGCGGCGTGCACTCGTTGACATCGTAAACAAAATTGTACCGTGTTGGTTCCGTGACAAGGCTGATCCGAAGTGAAGTCAAAAAGTTCAGGTATTTTTCATGACAAAAGTAGAAACAAACGGTAAAAATTTGCAGGTACATGGAATCAAACGGGTGTAAGTACTTGCGCCCGTCATTATGATTTACGGGTGCATTGCTGAGACAAACGAGTGCATTTTATTTATTTTAATTTCAAGCCCCGCTATGAGCAAAAATTTTCAAGTGTATGCATGCATGATGGTTGCACATGAAATGCAGCACTCACTATGCATAATCATATGAAGCACTGAGTTAGCCTTACTACTTTTACATGTTAAAGCACAGGAAATGGACATGCTGCCCCAGGGGTAGGGATTATGTTATATGCCATTTTAACTGGGGGGGCGTGGCGTGATTGATGGGTACATTAGGAGCAATCAGTATCAGATGGGAACACATTGAGAACACTATTCGTTTTCACAGAGATTGTGCTTTGTACCAAGTGGAACATTCTACAAGAACAGTGGTGCTCTGCATTTTGAGATGCTGTGTTAAAGAAAGTTCAGGCATGAGCCCAGTGGTCTGCATTTCTGATGCCTTCAAAATCATGGGAAAATGGGAACGTAAGATTTTGGTAGATATAGGAAGTGACGGAGGTAAATGTGCTGTTTCATCCTGTTCGCTATCTCCAGTCCGATCAGAGGCAGACGTATTCGATGATGGCAAGATCTTTCATCCTGAGTTCACCCATCAGCTGTTTGGTCAGAAGTAAGTTGCAGTATAAAATTGGCCATTTTATTGAGCAGAGACTGGTATACGTATAATTAGATTTTTATCGACTGCTTGGTAACTTGTTTAAATTACCAGCCCACTTTCTGTGAAAGACAATTTCTGCATAATACATGTATTTCTTGGCATTAGTTTAACGTATGCCTTACAAGTCATACATAGGTGTCTGATTTTTATGATAATTAATTCAAATAAGTGCCCAAGGTGTGTCAGCAACATTAATTTTGTTCCCTGCTGTGTCTCAGTGAGAATATTTTCGGCTACAAGGGTTTGAGGGTGCAGCTGTTTTTCACAGCTGGGAGGTTGGTGCCGTATCTCCACATGACTTGCACGGAAAAAGTCAACGCAAAACTTTTTGATGGTGTTCAGGTATTTTCATCCTTCTGTTTTTTTTCCCCTCCATTTTTCTTCCCCTACTTGCATTTTTTTTTCAAGATTACTGTAATTAACATGCATGGTGCTGCCTGGAGTTTTCCAGTGTGTGTATGTGTGTGGCGGGGGGGCCCTTGTAGGCTATTAAAAGAAAAATGAACAACAGCGGGAAGGGGTCAATTTTGAGTTTGTTTAATGCAGATTAATGATTTTTATTCCAATTTTTTTTTTTATTCTTTCACTTTTTCTCCTTTTGCCTTTTTAATTATTTTTTTCTTTCCAGGGGGTGCCCAAGGTTGCCCCCTTCCCCTGCCTCATGACTGCCATGTGAACGGGATGTGTTTTGATATGTGTTCTCTTAATTGAAAGACAAATTTTTTTTTAGGCTGACAGTGTCCTGAAAACGGTCATCGACAAGCTTGAAATCAAACCCATGGACAATTTGGACAAGTTCATCTCTGTCATCTCGGACGATGCCAGTTTCCAGCCAGTCGGCGAGCTGCTTCATGCATATTCAGTTGAGGGAGAGGGGCCAACACGGAACTTTGAGATCTACACCAACGACATCACCGCACCGGGATTCCGGGAGTATCATGAGAGACTGCAGACGTTCCTCTGGTGGTACATTGACGCAGCGTCATACATCGATATGGATGATGAAAAATGGGTATATTACACAGTGTGAGTGTCATCACTCATCCTTGGTCATAACATTTGCACAATTAAAATTCACTCATTTGAACAGCCGGGTTGGTCAACATGACTATTTCTGCTCTTTTTAGTAGCATCAAAATATCACATGTGTATTTCACTGTGTTTAACCCTCCTATGCAAAGATGCATTCTCAACACAGTTGTCCTATAGGCTATCAGTCAAAATCACTCAAGTCACATATGGTATGTATGCACTGGGCAGGGAATGTAGAAGGAATTTTTGACCGTTTTTGACGGTTACAGCAAAAGGAGGGTTAATAGGTGGAGACATCCATCTGTATTCAACCACATCAAAACCTTTCATTTGAAATCTCCCTCTTTTCTTTGCTTCATAGATTTATGAGCCTTTTACATCTGATAACCAAGAGGTAGACTCTGAACAATAGTATTTGTGCCCCTGATTTGTATTAAAGAAAAACGAACAATTTCTTATCAGATTTGAGAAGTACATCATTAATGGTAACAAGAGATATGCTGTAGCAGGCTACGCCACAGCTTACCGGTACTATGCTTACCCAGATATGACACGGCCAAGAATTAGGTAAGTTCTGCAGCCTCTATGATGTAATCTTGTTTTTCTGTTTCAATATTAAGAGTTTTATTTATTAGCTTGGACTTTCTTTCAACCACCCCCTTCCCAAAGATTGACCTTGTCTGGCGAGTCCTGGTGAAAAGACTTGTGTGTGTGCATGTTTGTTGTTGAGCAACAATTGGTCTTATTCACAAGTTGGCCTTTTTGAATTGATACAAGGTTAACTTTTATTTTGAGAACATGAGCATAAAAATAAAAGCAATGAATTCAAAGTTCATTGCAAATAATGTCATTTACGTCGATGGATAATTGAAATTTGTGATTAATTACACCCAAATGTTATAGCCATATTTGAAAAAAAAAAGGAAAAAGAGGCATGGAACCTCAAAAATATGGTACCACCCTGTTGGACAGATTACGAGAGATTCTGGGAACACAATCAAAATGGCTTCCATCATTAATGTCTAGTTAGAGATCCCAGAATCTTAATCCTTGGATACGAGCAGATTTTGCTAATGAAAAATGTCAGTACTTAGTGGTGTCACGAATTTAGCACCTGAAAGGAATGACAGTTGTGTGTGTTAACATTCACAACATTTCCGCCCAATTTTTCCCCTTGTAGTCAGGTGCTCGTATTGCCACCATTCCAAAGACAGGGCCATGGAGTCCAGCTACTACAGACAATGTACTCGCATTTCAGGAATGATACAAAAATCCTCGACATCACAGGTAAAATGGACATGTCCAATGTGTGATTTTTAGTTAGTTTTAATGGCTTCAAAATTGATATAGGAAATACCTGTGACATTCTGAGGTCAGCAGGCTCACTAGTTTCAAAACTCTTTTCTGTAAAAAAAGTTCATGTTAAGTAAATCTGATCGGTGTTAATAGAACGTTATTTCAAATTTTGTCATGAGTGCCATTCAGGGCATGTCAGTTGAAAATGGCTGAACAAATGTGTCTTTTAAATTTAATTTCCAGTGGTGTTATTTGCTTTTAGTTGAGGATCCTTCAGAGGACTTTGTGAGGCTAAGAGACTTTGTAGACTGCCGGGACTGCATGAAACTTCCAGCATTTGATCCCGCCAACTTGACAAAGGGTTTCTCGGCTGAAATGGAGAAACAGGCTCTGGAAAAACTAAAACTGTGCAAGGTGGGCCAGTGGTCCTTTCCAAGTCTGGTCACAAGTCTGTGTTAAAACTAGTCACAAGCAAAAGGGTGAACAGTGACAAAGGAATGCTTTTCTAACAATCCAGTTTAACCACTTGCTGGGGCATTTTTCAATGTTGATGATGCTGGGCCGGCATGACTATCATTTTTTCCGTTTTCAAAATCCTTCAAAAATTCATCATTCCATTTAACGGTCGTTTATAGCCGCACCAAGTAATCTTCAGGCACTACTCTAAGTTGACAGGTGACCTTCACTGACA